CCCTAGGAGGACGCGTCCGCCGCGGGGAAGGGAAGCTCCGGCGCTTCGGTCCGAGGTGCGGGGCGGCGCGTTCTGGTTCGGTCCGTTCCGAGGGGGTCAGCGAGCCCGCCCGGGGGCAGGAGGAAAACCGGGATAAAGAGTTTTCTGCGCACAGAAATAGGCTAAGAAACGGGATGAGGGAAAAAGCGGGTTTTGTTTTCCTTATCCAAGGGGATGTTGAGAGTTGAAGAGATCTTTGCTCTGCTCCTCTCCCTCGTTCCAGGCGCAGCTCCTGCCCCCGCCCGACCCGCCGGGCCCTCGGGCAGCAGCACCCAGGTCTGGTCCGATTTCCTCAGCGTGCGCCTGCACCCCAAGAGCATCTACGTCATCCGACAGTACATGCACGATGGGTACGGCCTCAAGCTTTGGTTCAGAACCTGCTGTCCAGAATGGAATCTTAATTTTTCCATAAAGGCAAAATTAAGGAGATAGGGGTGAAAAAAGTTGATTCTTTTATTTTTTCCTCAGGGAGTGTGGTTGCCTAGAAGCCTTTGGACAAGGTGAAAGGCTGCTGCAGGATCCCAGCTGCCTAGAGGAGTTGGAAGATCGGTTGCACTTCTATGTTGAAGAGTGTGATTATCTGCAGGTTGGGCAGCTTAAGCCAAACTCCCTTTTCTTTGAGGAAACTTTCCGCTTGGGCTTAAGCCGAATCTCAGACGCTGCCATCATTTTACACAGGGATTTCAAGTCCTCTGTGACCTACACGATGGATTCTCTGGAGTTGGTGCCAAGGTGACAGAACTGCTCTACGATGAGTATTCAGGAAAAGGAATCCTGACTTGGGGCTTAACTCCAGTCCTGAGTAACATGGGAGTAAGTAAACAACAGGGAAAAACAAGAACCAGGGATGCTTCCAGACCCAACTGGGATTAGACTTGTTTCTTGTTGCATCTTTGAGATTGTTTTTTTTTTCCACCCCAGGATCACCAGAAGAACTTTTACAGACTGATGAACACAGCGCTAGGAATCGTCCACCTCTCCAGCCACAGCTCCCTCTTCTGTCCCCTGTCGCTCAGTGGGAGTCTCGGAATCAGGCCCCAACCTCCCCTCACCTTCCCGTACATAAACTACGATGTACGTACCCCAGAGCAGCTGAGCTAGAACCACACCTGCCTTGGCTGGCTTCCACCACTCTCTGGAAGTGTTTTCTGCAGTTAGTGTATTTTTAGCAGTGTTTTTTCATTACGGTGTTCTGCTAAGCAGAAGAGACTTTTTGTTCCTGCTTTTTCACTGTTAGCAGAGACTTAACTGCCAACTTTTTGTTCCCATAGGTTTTTCATGCTTTTAACACGTTTCCTTTTTTGCGGTCTTTCTGTTGGTGTACTGCCTTCACTTTCAGCACTGAAAAAAAAAAGCCTCACTGCATTATTCTTCATGTGTGGAGTGTGTAACTCCAGCAGCTTTAGTGCTCAGACATGGAACTGGCAACAGATCATGTGTTAGCACACAGCTGACTTGCTTATCCAAAACCTGGAAGAACTGTTAAACACGACCTCTATAAAAGCACAATTTACAACATGCTTAAGTTTGTCCTGTAACTCTGCCCTTTGTTTCCCTCCCCAGGCCTCGCTGCCCTACCACAGCAGCGCAATCCTGGCAGCCGCGCTCGACACCCTCACTGCTCCGTACCGGCTCTGCTCCTCTCAGGGCTCCATGATGCACCTCGCTGAAACGCTCAACTTCTCAGGGAGAAAGGTCAGGGCAGAGAACAAGCAGCTTCTGCTCCTCTCAGCTCTGCCTGGACTCACACTGGAGGCAGGAGCTGTGGTTCTACCTCCCTCCACACAGGGCAGGAGCTGGGGAGCGTGTTCGGGACAGTGGTTTGTCTCCCCCTCTCTGACTCGTAGGTTGTGGCTGCGTGGGCTTCTCTTCCCTTTCCTGCCCTACGTGGCTGCTCGCTCCCCGATACTTTACATGCCTACCAGCAGGACGTGCCCTGGAAGCTTCTGTCTTCATGCAGGGAGCAAAAGGTCAGCTGCTGTTTTGCTCAGTCTGTTGTGCTACGAGGAGTTTGCAAAGAAAGTCACAGCAGGTAATCAGCATTTGAACTGCACTTCTCCTTCCAGTCCTCTGGCACTCTCAACAGCAAGGATTTCTTACGAGTGTTACAATCCTCCTATTAGGAGTGTCAGCTGAATGGAAAAGGGAAAAAAAAAAAGTCTAGTTATTCAACCAGTTCCGTGCTACTAACAGCAAAACAAAGCAGCTGAGTCACTGACATTTTCAGTCAAGTTACCTTGAAAACTATGAATTGTCTTTGCAGCTGTCCAGGAAAGCAGCCCCCTTCTCCCCTCCACGCTTGTGAGAGCACGGAGCAGGTTCTCCAGCATTACTTACACACTCTGTTTCCTGGGGCATTCAGGTTGGTAACAGTCTTTTTCTTTTTTGACCAGGGAACACTAACTAGAAACTGAAGGTAGAACAAGTTTCCGGTAACGTTATTCACCTTCTTCCTTACAGCACATCCCACGTGCTCGAGCAGCCATGTCACACCCTTCCTCCCTACCCCCAGTTTTTTTCTCCTCTTCTTACCAGACAAGGCTTCCTCCAGGACAAACCTCCCAGTTATTCCTCAGCAGGTAACAAGTGCCCCTTAAACTTTGCAACAGAAAGAGACATGGGGGCAGGAGGGTCTAGCAAAGGTAAAGAATTATTTAAAAAAAAACCAAACAAAACCAAAACCAAAACACAGAACCCACACTTCTGGGTGTTTGTAGGGCAAAAAACTGATGGGTGTTAAGCAACTCTTATGCTACACTGAGTTCAAGTAAAACAACTGCTTGTGAAACAAGCTTCTGGGTGTGTTTGAACAAAGCTGTTGTCCCTGCAGCAGTGGAGAGCATCCCTGTCCTGGCGGGCCTGCAGTCCTCGCCCACCCTGCGCACGCTCCTCCGCAGCCTGCACCAGGACCTGCACCAGGCCGACGTGCGGCGCTGGCCCAGCTTCTTCTCTGCTGGGGTCGAGCACGAGGACTTCCAGGAGGCCTTGCAGGAGCTGAGGACTTTAGCCCAGTGCTATGAAACGGGGTTTGAAGCAGATGAATCTGAAGATGAAGCAGATTCAGACTAACTCACCTTTATTACTAGAGATACTGGAAGTAAGAATATCTTTAAGATCACTTTCAAAATAAAGGGAATGGCTTTAAAGATGGTATTTTCTTTTCATTTCATCAAAATCCTGTTACAAAGGCTGGCTTAAAGTCCTCCAGCTACTTGCAGTTGTTTTATAAAGGAGGAATGCTGCTTTTGGGGGGCTGGTTTTGGATGTTTGGGTTTTTTTTTTTAAAACTCTGCAAAGTGGATTTCTTCTGCCTGTTAGAATAAGACCACACAATAAATACAGAATTCAGATTGTAACTTTCCCACGTACAATCAACACAAGGGGAAAAAAAAAACTTACAAAAAAACCCATGTGTTTGTTCCACATGAAAACAGACACTTTATGGTACAATATTTACATGTTCCTCTCAAAGGCTGGTGGCCCAGTCTTCACCACGGAGTGAGGTCAGCGTCCACAAGCATCACTTCTGTCATGTCACTGTCAGCTCCCCAGGTGGGTTTCTAGAGAATGTTACCACCCTACCCCCTTCCTTCATTCCTTTAGTTTCATACAGGTTGAGAAGCACAGCTTGTCAGAAGTGTAGCAGGAAGTGAACCACAAAAAAAAAAAAAAAAAGGCTATCTTTAGTACCTGTGCAAACATTTTTCCTTTATCCACAGCACCTGTCTAGCAGCAAACTGGCAAACAACTCTCCTTCCAATGCAGTCAGTAGCTTATCAAGCCAGAAAAACCTTAGTCATCAGGTTCTTCCTCAGAAAGCAGAAGATCTTTATCTGACAGCTGGTCTGTGTTACTGGTACTGGTTGCATCCTCCTCATCTTCAGAGCTCCCATCACAGGATGTATGAAACAGCCTCATCAGCTCTCTGAACCTGTGGGATACCTGAAGAACAAGGGGAATCCAGGATGACTTAATGACCTAAAGGTGGTGGCAAATGGAAATTTCATATTACAAAGTTCAGGGTGGTTTGTACTTTTACATTAAACCCACAGTCACATTTTAAGCAAGATTCAGTCATAAAGGGGGAGAAATGAAGAAAGCACTGGGTTCTGTTTTCTTTGGAAGAACAGTTACATTCTACTAACTTGCAGGGGAAAAAAATGGCAGTTTAGGAAGATTTCTGAGCAGTGATGTGGGAAGGTTAAAGGACAAAACCCTGCAGCTCCCTTGTACTGAAGTAGAAGGCTGGACCCCAAGCAGCACTCACTGGAACAATTCTGCGACCAAGTACAACGCTAGAGTCTCAATGGTAATACCGTAAAAAACACCGTGGCAGTCGTGATTTTTGGCTCCACTAGAAGACATGGAGATTTGTTCAGGTTTTTTAATTGCAATTTAGAATTATTTTTCTCTGATGCAGCATCAAATTAAGTTTGTGAGACTATATGACAGCAAACCACCCCTCCCTCCTCTCCCCCGTCGCAGATGCCCTTTCTGACCCAAACCCCTCACCTCACTGGCCGTCTTGTTGCCCAGTTTCTGCGAGATGGCATGGAAGGTTTCCAGGTGGGCTCCTTTCTCCTGGCAGGTGGTCAGGATGACTCTGTCAGCCTCCCTGCAAAACAGGACAGCAGCCGTGGCAGCAGCTGAGAACAACTGTTGCCACACTTCGAGCACCAGAGGCCTGTTCCTGGGTAAGGACAACGGCCACAGAGCGAGGCCTGCAGGCTCGTCCCCTCACTGCTGCTACCACCACCAGCCACAAGACAGAGCGCCAAGCAGAGCTGTAATTTAGACTGGTTTTAAGCTTTTTGAAGAAGAAGTTCTACAGTAATAACATCACCACGAGCAGACTATTTCTCACAGGACCGAGATGGCTGTGACAGACCATGGTTAGAGGAAACATGGCAGCTCAGGGAGGGGTGGCTGGAGCTGTCTGGGAGAGAAGGATCTGGGGGTTCTCAGTGACAAGCAGCTGAACAGGAGCCAGCAGTGTGCCCGGGTGGCCAAGAAAGCCAACGGCATCCTGGCGTGTATCAGCAATAGTGTGACCAGCAGGAGCAGGGAGGTGACAGTCCCCCTGTGCTCGGCACTGGTGAGGCCACACCTGGAGGGTTGTGTCCAGGTTTGGGCATCTCAATGCGAGAGAGATCGAGGGGCTGGAGCAAGGGCAGAGGAGGACAACGAGGCTGGGGAAGGGCCTGGAGAATAAATCCTGTGAGGAGACAGGGAAGGAGCCGGGAGTGTTGAGTGTGAGGAGGAGGAGGCTGAGGGGAGCCCTCATCCCTCTCTGCAGCTCCTGACAGGACATTGCAGAGAGGCCGGGGCTGGGCTCTGCTCCCAGGGGATCAGGGACAGGACAAGAGGGAACGGCTGGAAACTGCCCCAGGGGAGGGTCAGGCTGGGCAGGAGGAGAAAATGTTTCCCAGCAAGAGTGGTCAGAGAGTGGAACAGGCTGCCCGGGGAGGGGGGAGTCCCCATCCCTGGGGGGGGTTCAGGGCCGTTGGGATGAGCTGTGGGGGATGTGGGGTAGGGGAGAGCTCTGTAGAGTCGGGCTGAGGGTTGGACTTGCTGATCCTGAGGGGCTTTTCCAACTGGAATGATTGTGGGATTCAGTAACTATTCAAAGGGAGGGGGGCAGAAGACATTAGAAAATGGCAATACAAAATTAAACTACAGGATATTCCATAACACGAAAGCTGAAGCCAAATACTGAACGCACGAAGGATGCACAGTGTAGTTCAGGCAGATATACCTGGTCCAGAGGACAACCTTCTCCCCCGTCGAGCTGACTTTGCTGTTCTTGGCACACACAGTTGCTTCTGTGACTCGCTGTTGCTGCTGCTGCTCCTCTTCCTTTTGCCCCAGGGAGGCAGTAACCACTCTGTATTCCAGCTGCTCAGGGTGCTGATGCATCTGGAAGCGGTTGTTTGCATTTGACTTTAATCTGTTCTCAGGAAAGTTTCCAGTGCAGCCCGTATCATCTGTTTCCAAAATGTAATTATCAGGGGACTGTGAGCTGCAGCTTTTACCCAGTGCTGGTTTTCTACCTGGGGTTATCCAACCCTGCTTTGCTTCAGCTTTTCCTTCCAGAGATAAAGGTGGTCCCTCAAATTCTTTCACTGATTTTGAAGCATGACCAAACCCAGCGAGCTTATCTGAGGCATCAGAATGAAGCCCTTCAGTCTGACATAAACTCTTTGCAGAAGAGGAACTGGGCCCCGTTAAACCTTTTGCTGTAGCAGAACGGGAAGACAGCAGCAGATCTCTGCTCAGCCCAAGGGAAGCACCTGCAGTTCCCTGATGCTGGTTTAGCCCCTCACTCCCCACAGTGCAAGGGCAGTCTTTGGTTTCTTGAGGTAGTTTCAGAGTAGCTTTTTGCAGAGGTGTCCATCTGGGGCCAGTGATAGAGGAGTCGCTGTCCCCTGCAGCATTCACAACACTGACACCTGCTTCTTGAACCTGATTATCAGGCAGTGCAGCTTTTTCAGAAGATGCATGTCTGCTGGAGACAATCTTTCCTTCCAGCTGAGATCCTGGTAAGAAACCCAAACAAGTTTAGACTAGCTGTTATTAAGAAAAATTTCTGGAGGCTTTATTCATTTAAGATTTTTTTAAAAAATTATTCGAGAGCATAATGCTGTGAGAACACAGTTTGAGAGCAGCTTTGTGATTCTATCTGCACTTTATCCATCCTGTACTTGAAAGGAGGCAACTCTGCAGCCACAATTTTCTTCACCACTGTGGGTTACTACAACCAGCTGCTGTGTGAAGTGATGAACAGGTGCAAAAGCTTCAGTGCCTTGCGCAGAACAAAATTTTCACAGGAAACAGAAATTTCTGCGTGTGGCACCTGATTTAGACCCACTATTAACTAGGCATCAAGTTGCATTACATTTAAACCACTGTGTTTAAACCTGGGCCTTGTCTCCAACAGCAGCATTAACTCAGACACAGTTAGTGAAAGAGGGAAGAGATCGCTTTCAGGTTTATCCTGCAACAATCATGTTTCCTCTTGTCTGCACCAGACTGAGGGAAACACATGTAACATGAAAGAGATCATTTAAAAGAAGATTAGAGAGATGGTGATTTTGAATTTTTGTGCTAAAATGAAAACTAGAAAAAAAAAAATCCCAGCATCATGACCTGGTAGTACCAGGAATGGGATTAGCACGCTAGCAAGAGAAGCTTAAATGGACCAATCACTCTGAAAAGGGGGGAGTATTTCTCTAGCCAGAAAAGCTTTATTTGAAGAGAATGCTCTAGACATCTGTATGTTTAGAGCATCCAGAGTGGATGAACACAAGGGGAAAAAAAAAAAAAAGAAAGAAGATTAGAAGTTCTCATTATCTCAGTAAATGTGCATCAGAAAGCCCTATGCCTATTGTCATCCGTGTGAACCAGTCTGAGGATGAATGATGTACCTGTCTGTACACAAGACTTTCACACACCTGAAGCCAGAGAGTCCCCTTTCCTAGACACGGTTTTTGTTCTGCTCTGGACATCCTCTCCCTCATCTCTGTTGTCCAGGCTTTCTTCTGCAGGCTCCTTCGACATTCCAGAATCCTTCCCTTCAGGCGGGGGACTTGATTCTTGTTGAACAAGGCTTGCAGTCAGCTCATGAGAATCTTTGTTTTTATAAAATTTGTTTTCACACACCTGCAGATCAATAGACAGGCAGACAGTTACAGATGTGGTGTATCAGTCCAAACCCAACACGTCAGCCTTCGCACCCAAAGGACCCCTTGCCCCTAACAAAGGCTTCGGTTTGGCAATACATTTGCAGTTAGAAAGCTGAATCTTTTTTCTTATCAACAGGTATGGTTCTTTCAACATAGTGGCCACACAAGCATCTTCCACGAAGAAAAGCTTATTCTTAACTCAAGAGAACATCAAAATTAACACTATTTAGCACAGCAAGGAGGGGCAGTAGAGAGTGAGCAGGAGATAGACGGGGGAAGGCCAGGCAGTGTGGTCTGAGCTTTGAAGAGGGCGATGCTACTGCTCATCTTTTGATTTACATTCTCCCTCAGCACGTTATTTTGGAGACACGAGGCCCGAGGCTGGACACGGGGGGACTCTTGGCAGAGCTCTACATTCCACTCACCACTCCAGTGACTTGGCCTATCAACTAACCTTACTACTACAATGGCTGCAGGTCCTCCTTTTGCTTTTCTTTAGCTTGAGATCGCTAGTGCCTTCATGGCAGGAACATGAACATTCCTTCATCCCATCTACCCACTCGACCTCCTGGAAACAGACATACTCCAGCTGACACACGTGCAGGGTAACAACGCGACGGGGGGTGTGTGTGCGTGTGTCACCCCCAGAGTGAGCCGGGAGGGGCAGAGCGGCCCTCTGCACACACCCAGAGAACAAACACCGTTACGCTGCTAGCAAGCAGAGCACAACAGACACATTTCAATCCCCTTTCTTCACATCTTTTTAGGCTATTGTCATGTCTCTCGAGAACACACATTTACCCTCATGGGCATGCATTTGCTCAGAGTCCAGACATGGGACACCCCAGGCCCACCTTGTCATTGTTGTGGCCTCCGATCTCTTTCCGCTTTTTATTTTTTGAAGCTGTGTGCATCTTGGGTGGTTCATCCTCCTCTTCTACATCTGGCAGAGACACTTCTTCAAACCCATCAAACTACAAAAAAAGAAACACACAAGAACAGCTCTAT